AGTCGGGGCTTGAAAAGAAAGGAAGAAAGAATGGGGAAACTTCAAAACGGAAAAGAGAAGGAAGGGGCGGCTCTTAAAGTTGCAGGGCTCCTTTCTTTCCCAGTTTGGAACTTTTTCTTGGTGGAGTTATTGTAATTGTTGAGAGAGGATCAATTTCTGTCCAAATTATAATTTGCTGATATTTTGAGAGTTAATTCTTATGGTGTACTGTTGTATTATTGTTGTATTATTATGGATTATTTGAAACCTATTCTTTGGTGATCACTAGCAGCTGATTAAGATTATTTTACATAAATATGGTGTGTCCTTAAGTGACTGTGGCAGTGGCGTAGCGTGGGTTGTCAGCACCCGGGGCAAGGCAAGTAATTTGCGCCCCCTAACCCGTGGATTTGTGCCCCCTAACCCGTGGATTTGCGCCCCCTAACCTGTGGATTTGCCCTAACCCCAGATGTTGCGCCCGGTGCGGCCGGCCCCCCCTGCACCCCCCATGCTACGCCACTGGACTGTGGAGGCCAATTCTGGATCCATACCTCCGTCCACAGTGGGGAAATAGGTTTCCAGGCAGGAGTTTTTTTGTTTTTTGTTTCGTTTTGTTTTTCAATTACATGATCAGAAAACACTACAGTCACCCTGACTGTACTCACTGAAGCCTGATTGCACCATTCTATAAATTATAATACAAGAAAAAGTACATATGTTAAGTACCATCCATGGTCAAAGTCCTCTGGCTGACAAGAAGGATTTTTTTGAAGTTGTTACAATATAATGCATGTAAAAATAGAAAGTTTAAAAACCAATCTCATCAGAGAGTCGCTTCCATTTGTATGGTGAAATAAATAAGGCAGCAGAAGTCATTAGTTAGAAGTGGACTCATATGTGGTGGACTTGTAAAAGGGTAAGAGTATTGGGAAATAATTTATAATGAATTGAAAAAAATGTTTAGATGTACTTTTCCAAAAAACAACAACTCCCCCAAACCCTTTTTGTTGGGGAAAGTTCAGATAGAAATTCCTAGATGTAAAAAAAAAAGGCTATTTATGTATGCCACCACTGCAGCCCGTGTTTTGTTAGCCCCAAAATGGAAAATGAGCGAGGTCCCAACTAAAGAAGAATGGCAACTCATGGAATTTTGTGCAGCTTGCGGACCTAACATATAGAATAAGAGAACAAGAAGAACATACGTTTAAAGAAGACTGGAAAATGTTTACTGAATATATGGGAAGGGAATTGTGTACACTTGAGAACGTTGGCAACATCAAGATAAATTCAACAGTGTAAACAAGTTTTGATGAATATACAGTGGTACCTCAGGTTACATACGCTTCATGTTACAGACTCCGCTAACCCAGAAATAGTACCTCAGGTTAAGAACTTTGCTTCAGGATGAGAACAGAAATTGTGCTCCAGCGGTGCAGTGGCAGCAGGAGGCCCCATTAGCTAAAGTGGTGCTTCAGGTTAAGAACAGTTTCAGGTTAAGAACGGACCTCCGGAACGAATTAAGTACTTAACCCGAGGTACCACTGTATTAGTGGAATACTGAATGGTTTAGTTTATGTAAAATATGCAGGGATTTATGATATGCAAATTGAACCATGGAAAGAGAAGAAGGGAAGTCACTGACATTTTAAGGTTGTTCAATGAATATTTTAAATTGTAAAAGAGAAAACTTAATAAATATTACACACACACACACAGATGATTCTTGTAGAGTAGAGTGAGGAAGTGCAGCCCGACCAGCTAAATCATAGCATTGGAAGGGAACATGAGTGTCATCTAGACCAACCCCCTGCAATGCAGGAATCTTTTTGTCCATTGTGGGGCTTGAACCCACAACCCTAAGATCAAGAGTCTCATGCTGTACCAACTGAGCTGTCTAGCGCACAAAACTAGTTGTTGTAACTGCTTTTTAATAAAGGCAATACGTTAAGCCGTTCTTCGAGGTATTGAACCCAAACTTACTGCAATAACAAACTTCTCTTTTTTGTTGAGGTGCACGCTTTCAAAAGCTCATCTAAATTAATTGCACCTCATTAATCTTTTTTTTTAAAGATATTTATTAGAGTTTTCAAAGTTAATACAATAAAAAAGTGAAAAAGAAAAAAAAGAAAGAAAATAACAGAAAATCGAAAAATACCAAAAAAGTTTAAAAACACATAAAGTTCACAATACTTATTTTTCATTAACTTATTTCCCCGACCTCCTCGTACCTCCCTTTTTTGTATTCCAGTTCAAATTGTTAGTTCAGCAAATCCTTAACAATGATTTTTAACCTATTTCTGCACCCCTTTTTTTTCATATCACTTGAAACATTACAGCTGGAAACCACTTAATTTCTATCCGACATCATTCTAACATTCATTAATTTTACAATATTTCTGTAAATAGTCCTTAAATTTCTTCCAATCTTCTTCCGCCGACTCTTCTCCCTGGTCACGGATTCTGCCAGTCATTTCTGCCAATCCCATGTAGTCAATCATCTTCATCTGCCATTCTTCCAGAGTGGGTAAATCTTGTGTCTTCCAGTACTTTGCAATATAATTGCACCTCATTAATCGGCAGAGTCTGCAGGTCTAACGCCAGTTGATTTTTCCGCTGAGGAAAACATGGGGCTTAACACCAAAACTGCCTCCCCCAAAGCTGAACAAGCCGCTTACAGAAGCTCTGCTTTCACTGAGCAAAGAAATAAATATGGTAAATTTGCTTTTGTAACTTGGTGTGTACATCCTGGGATTTTCTCTGGCTTTCTGTTGGTTAATGTGTCTGAGAATTTGAGCGCATGCCTACGCACCGATTAACGTTGAGTATCGGTTGCTCAGAATTACACGTGTGGAAAAGTGCTTTTGCACTCGTGTCTTGCTTATAGACTTCCCACAAGTACAGTGGTACCTCAGGTTACATACGCTTCAGGTTACATACGCTTCAGGTTACAGACTCCGCTAACCCAGAAATAATGCTTCAGGTTAAGAACTTTGCTTCAGGATGAGAACAGAAATCGTGTTCTGGCGGCGCGGCGGGAGCTCGAGGCCCCATTAGCTAAAGTGGTGCTTCAGGTTAAGAACAGTTTCAGGTTAAGAATGGACCTCCAGAACAAATTAAGCACTTAACCTGAGGTACCACTGTATTTGGTTGGCCATTGGATGCTGGTTAGAATGGACCTCTGACCTGATCCTGTAGAACTTAGCTTTTAGTTTCTCAAAAATCTTGGTGGAAGCAAGCAAGAGGTCACCGAGGAATCCACTCAGGAGTAACCCCAAAGCCTCTGGAAGCTGATGTTTATCCAAATAACTTCTAATTCCCTTCCCTGCTGGGTCAATCTGTCCAGGGAAGAAGGTGATAAAGATAGCAGGAAAGTAAACATGTCATTTGCAACCCCATTAAGAAAAGTGCTAAAACCATCACTGGGAGGAGATGAGCTGAGGGTGGTGATGAGATGTGTGGGGAGATCATTTTAGATAAACATACACACAACAACAACATCAACATGCACATACCCCATAAAAACAGCTACTGACAGATACCTGGCATAATAAGCACCACATAGCTGAATTAACAAAAAGGCATTACGGCACTTATAAATCCTGGAGATGCAAAGAGGTAGAGGGAACGTTATTTGATATGTGGTGGATTTGTTAAAGGGTAAAAGATTATCGGGAAATGGTCCATAATGAATTGAAATAAATGTTAAAAAGTACTTCCCCCCAAAAAAATCCAAAGTCCTTTCTGTTGGGGATAATTCAGACTGAAATCCCCAGGCGTCAAAAAAGGTTATTTATGTATGCTACAACTGCGGACCGTGTTTTGTTAGTCCAAAAATGGAAAATGATCGAGGTACCAACCAAAGAAGAATGGCAACTTAAGTTGACAGAATATGCACAACTCGCAGACTTAACATATAGAATAAGGGAACAAGAAGAACATACGTTTAAAGGAGATTGGAAAACGTTTATTGAATATATGGGAAATAATTTGTGTACAGCTGAAAACGCTGGCAGCATTAAGATCTATTCAACGGTGTAAACAAGTTTTGATGGATGCAATAATGGAATACTGAATGGTATAGTTTTTGTAAAATATGCAGGGATTTATGATATGTGAAATGAACCATGGAAAGAGGAGAAGGGAAGTCACTGATATCTTAAGGATGCAAAATTAGTATTTTAAATTGTAAAACAGAAAACTTAATAAAAATTATATCCAAAAACAATAAGGCATTACAGTGGTACCTCGGGTTAAGTACTTAATTCGTTCCAGAGGTCCGTTCTTAACCTGAAACTGTTCTTAACCTGAAGCACCACTTTAGCTAATGGGGCCTCCTGCTGCCGCCACGCCGCCAGAGCACGATTTCTGTTCTCATCCTGAAGCAAAGTTCTTAACCTGAAGCACTATTTCTGGGTTAGCGGAGTCTGTAACCTGAAGCGTATGTAACCTGAGGTACCACTGTACAGATGGCAACATGTCATTGACTGCAGCAAGATGGTAGCATATGAAGATCACAGAAGGAATCAGTAGGATAAGGCAATAAGGGGACGACTTGGTTGATAACACGACTAGTATGGTAAAAGCAGGCAATGAGGGATGCATTTTGACCGATGAAGTCTTCTTTGCAACTTGACAGCTTGCATACATACTTGTCTTGGGTATCCTGGGGGAAAAACCCCTTGAACTCTAGAACAATTGCTGAAGGGCCCCTAGCGGATAATATTTATGATGAGTAAAGGTAAAGGGACCCCCGACCATTAGGTCCATTCGCGGACGACTCTGAGGTTGTGGCGCTCATCTCGCTTTACTGGCCGAGGGAGCCAGCGTACAGCTTCCGGGTCATGTGGCCAGCATGACTAAGCCGCTTCTGGTGAAACAGAGCAACACATGGAAACGCCGTTTACCTTTCCGCCGGAGCAGTACCTATTTATTTACTTGCACTTTGACGTGCTTTCAAACTGCTAGGTTGGCAGGAGCAGGGACTGAACAGGAGCTCACCCCATCATGGGGATTCAAACCGCCGACCTTCCGATCGGCAAGCCCTAGGCTCAGTGGTTTAACCCACAGCGCCAAGTAGCACAGCTTAAAAGTGTCTCCTTCTTCTGTGTTACACAATTCTGATTGGCAAGCCCTAGGCTCAGTGGTTTAACCCACAGCGCCGAGTAGCGCAGCTTAAAAGTGTCTCCTTCTGTGTTACACAATTCGTTTCCTGAAAGGATGGGTGCCTGTCCACACAAGGAGGGCCTGTGCAACATTTAAAAACATTTCCAGACTTCTTGCATTTGCTGGGTGCTTGCCATCTCCAGTGTCTGCCTCACGTCCCCTGTGTGCTGCAAAGGATTCTGGGACATTCTGTCTGGCGCATCCATAGCACAGATTTAAAGCACTCTTATACCACTTTAACAGTCATGGTTTCCCCCTTCCCCCAATGAATCGTAGGAACTGTAATTTTCTGAAGGTGCTGACTTCACAGAGCTACCATTTCCAGCTCCCTTATCAAAGTTCAGTTCCCGGGATTCTCCATGACTGCTGAAATGGGAGTAGGAATGTTTTAAAAGTATGGTGTGGATATGATGTGTCAGTTTATGTGGGGCATCGGCTAAACTGCTTGGGGCTTGTTGTTTCCTCACATAAATACTAAGTTTGGCTTACTTCGACTCTGGGGTTGCGGCACTCATCTCGCTTTCAGGCGGAGGGAGCCAGTGTTTGTCCACAGACAGCTTTCCAGGTCATGTGGCCAGCATGACTAAACTGCTTCTGGCGCAACGGGACACCGTGACGGAAGCCAGCGAACACAGATACGCTGTTTTTATATACATTTCGACCGATGACCACTAGAGAAGATAAGAAGAAAACAAAACACAGTGAAATACATCACACAAACTATTACATGTGGTGATTAAAAACAATGGAAGATATTAAAAGGCAACGAGAAATATAAAACAATTTTATTAAAATGGCTTTAAGAAAAAGGAAAAGCAAGGTCAGGTGTTAATAATTCTAAAATTAAGACGAGATCCTGCAATGACAAGGTATTGCTGCCGCACACAAAAACCAGTGATCTCAGGAAACTGGTCAGCCAAAAGGTAATCAATATAATGATTGGTCCATTTGTTTTCTATGTGTTTGGCCACCTCTCGAGATATCACCTAATTCAGCAGGAGGGTTCCTGAGATGTACACAGCTTTGCAAGTGAGGAAAATACCCTTCTTGCCCCCCCCCAAAGGCTATGCCATGGCCAGATGTACTTTACACTGCTCTACACAAAGAAAAACTATGAACCATCTCGCCTGTCCTTATTTGCTCTGACCAGAAGTTTATTTCCAGAAGGTATGGATGAGGGTCGGCCTCCTTGAATCCTGAAACCGGGAATCCTTTTTAATTGTTGGTGTTAGGGATCGAACATCGTCCTGGGATGTATTCCGCTTTTTGCGGGTTGGGGATTCAAAGTTTAGTGATGAAGAATATGCAGGGCCCGCAGGGCCTGTAAGACAGAGTTGTTCCGCCTGGCCTTTGGCTTGGAGCCAATTTGATTCCCCCCCCCCTTTCTTTTTTCTTTTTCCTTTCTGCTCCTGTGATGAGGCTGCATTTTAATATTTTAATGTTTCAATATTTTAATGTTGTATTTTAATATTGTTTTTAAGTTGTATTCATTCAACTTGTTTTTATTATTGCTTGTTAGCCGCCCTGAGCCCAGCCTTGGCTGGGGAGGGCGGGGTATAAATAAAAATTATTATTATTATTATTTCTTCCATATAGTGGGCTGCATTTAACTAACCAGAATGGAAAGTGCAAGCTAGGGTTGAGCCTCTTGGCAGCCTAGCTAAGACCAACCAGCTAACCAGCCAACCATTTTTTTTATCAAGTGAAAGGCTAGAGGGGGTATAGTGTGTTTCATCGTGCCTCTGTAACACTGACTTGGGTTCTGTGCTAGTCAAGGAGAAAGAAGCTCTATTCTCTTTGCAGCTAGCATAGAAAATGGGGGTGGGGGGCGACCGGAGAGAAAGGACTAACTTACATGGACTTCTTAGGCACTTACGTGTGTTAAACACTTGACATTGGACTACTGCAATGCGCTCTACGTGGGGCTACCTTTGAAGGTGACCCGGAAACTACAACTAATCCAGAATGTGGCAGCTAGACTGGTGACTGGGAGTGGCCGCTGAGACCACATAACACCGGTCCTGAAAGACCTACATTGGCTCCCAGTACGTTTCCGGGCACAATTCAAAGTGTTGGTGCTGACCTTTAAAGCCCTAAACGGCCTTGGCCCAGTATACCTGAAGGAGTGTCTCCACCTCCATCGTTCTGCCCGGACGCTGAGGTGCAGTGCTGAGGGCCTTCTGGTGGTTCCCTCACTGCGAGAAGTGAGGTTACAGGGAAGCAGGCAGAGGGCCTTCTTGGTAGTGGCACCCGCCCTGTGGAACGCCCTTCCATCAGATGCCAAGGAAATAAACAACTGAACAACTGAAATAGACATCTGAAGGCAGCCCTGTTTAGGGAAGTTTTTAATGTTTGATGATTTATCGTGTTTTTAATATTCTGTTTGGAGCCGCCCAGAGTGGCTGGGGAACCCAGCCAGATGGGCAGTGTATTATTATTATTATTATTATTGACTTGACTGTTCTCTGCCCACCAAAAATTACCTGACTACAGCCCAGTATGATATTCAGCCTCTAGCATTTCCAGCTGAGCAACCATCCCAACTTATCTGCCTGGAGGTTATACACCATTGCTCTTTACTGAGCATTAATTCAGTTTGCGTGAGGGTTACCGCATATGCTAGCATCTAACCAACATTGCTGTTATCCTACAGTTTCCAGTGCTATTTTCCCAACACTTTTTGTCTCGGGTGGGAAGCAAGCATGCATGTTGCCCAACAGCACCAAATCCACTTAAACTGAGCGGCCTACATCGGCTGGTGGGTATCAATGCTCCAAACACATGCACACACATGTTAAGAACATGTAAGAATTTTTGGGGGTGGGAATCACACCAAAAATCGGTCACTGTATAGCACTTGGGTGCTGCTGGGAAGCTCAGAAGCAGGGCATTGACGGCAGCAGTAGTATCTTGTCTGTAATCTGCCCTGGGTGCTGTCTAACTATCAACTGGATTTTAACTGGGAAGCCCCTTTGTGAATCAGTTTTGACTGCAAAGTGGGACTCAAGTAAGAGGCATCATACACCTTTTAAAAAAAGAATAAACTAATGAGCAAGCATTGGTATTGTCGTATAAAAGGGTAAATAAATAATAATAATAATAATAATAATAATAATAATAATAATAATAATAATAATATATTTATACCTGGCCCATCTTGGCTGGGCTTCCCCAGCCAAGATGGGCAGCTTCCAACAAAATATTAAAATACCATAATGCACCAAACATTACAAGCTTCCCCAAATGATACGGATGCTCTCTATTCATGGTTTCATAACAGTGACCCCCCCCCCCAAATTAATGTTGTCTACAAAAATGGAGACAGGAGAGCATTGCTGTGCCACGGTGGAGCCAGACTTCTGGGGTTATTCGTTTGCTCTCCTGGGGGGTGGGGGGTCAGGCGCTCGTAATCATTAGGCTAAGCCCCTAAAACCTGATTGCCTCCTCCTCCCCATTAGATTGGCAAACAGCTTAAGCAGCAGGAGCCGAGATAGGCCTGGCTATATAAACTTTCCCAGGCATCCTCCCTGGACCAATCTCCCTTGCCAACTGTCCTTCAGCCAGAGCCATCAGTCATCCATCCATCGTGGTCATGATGAGGAGCCAGCTTTGCCTTCTCGTCTTCCTCCTCTGCTGCTTGTCTGCGGTGCAAGGCTCCATCTGGGCATGGATGCACTCTCTGCCACACGCTGCCAATGGGGTGCCACCTCGCAGGGACCCTGGGTCATCATCCGGCCAGGAGCTGGCGGTAAGCATCTTCCCCCAACCTTTTAAAAACAGGTCATCTTTGCCTTTTCATCATGTGGGCTCTCTAGCTTCTAGCAATGAGGAGGGAGGGCAAGTGAGTGGAGTGGGGAATCTGTCCTATTAGTCCTGGGAGAGGGAACCTGTGGCTCTCTGGGTGTCGCTGGCCTCCAATTCCTCCCCCCCCCCCCCCGACAATCTAGCCACTTTGGGTGGGGCTGATGGGATCCAACAGCATTTGCAGGGCCACACCATTAATCTGGCAGCGACTTGACTCCCACAAATCTGTTTCCAGCTCCAGCCCTCACCTAGGCACTTCCAGTGTAGTAATAAAGCAGAGAGTGCTTCTGAGCATGTTCAGAGTGCCAGACTTTATTCTTCTAGAAGAGAGAGGGGGGTGCAAGAGGAGAGGTGGAATCATAGGGAGAGAGTGTGCAGGAATGAAGAGGAAGACTAGATTGAGCTCTGATAAATTAGCTCTGATAATTTTTTTTAAAAGAAGGCTCTGAGTTCAGGTCCACCTGGAAGCCATACTTTCCGCCCTAGAAGCCCTCTTGTTGAACCCACATCAGTAGGGTGCTGGTTTTAGTTGTTCTGGAGTGAGAGATTTGTAGACGCAGAGGCCACCTGGTCACAGCTTTCCCCACTAAAAAGAGATGCATTGCATTTTTTTTATTTGAATTATAGCAATTATTTCTAAATTTGCACCTGTATAGATGATCATATCCTTCTTATTTTGCAGATATGTTACCTGTTTTGTCCTCTCTCTTTTTTGGCAAACACAAGCAGCCACCCTAACGGGGAGTGAGGACTAGTTCTCTGAAATGACCAGATGTTGCTAAGCAAATCTATCTTACACCTCCACATGTAGGCTTGCCCTGTCTCCAAAAATGAAAACCAGGACACAGGGGTTTTTTTTTTTGTAAAACTTGAGTTTTGGAGCTTTTTAAAAGGCATTTACAGCACAATTTAACCCCCGTCACTGGTTTTCTAGGACATTTGCCTGATTTCCGAAAAATAATCCAGGGCGCCATTTTCGGAGGCAAATCTCAGGACATGTCCTGGAAAATCAGGACGTATGGCAGCCCTACCCACATGCATCTACAAAGTCCAGTGTGGATGCCATTTTTTGTGGGTGTTAGTTGGTGCTCCCTAAGAGCTGGAATCTCTCTCCAAAGGACCCCAACCTCTGTGCAAATTTCAGCAAGCTTCAAACTGATAGTTCTGTCCAGCTTTTCTGCCATTGACTCTTATCAGGCTGCTGCCAAGCTTTAAAGCATAGGTAGGCAAACTAAGGCCCGGGGGCCGGATCCAGCACCAATCGCCTTCTAAATCCGGCCCACGGACGGCCGGGAATCAGCATGTTTTCACATGAGCAGAATGTGTCCTTTTATTTAAAATGCATCTCTGGGTTATTTGTGGGGCCTGCCTGGTGTTTTTACATGAGTAGAATGTGTGCTTTTACAGTGGTACCTCGGGTTAAGAACTTAATTCGTTCTGGAGGTCTGTTCTTAACCTGAAGCAGCACTTTAGCTAATGGGGCCTCCCGCTGCTGCCGCACGATTTCTGTTCTCATCCTGAAGCAAAGTTATTAACCTGGGGTACTATTTCTGGGTTAGCGGAGTCTGTAACCTGAAGCATCTGTAACCCAAGGTACCACTGTATTTAAAATGCATCTCTAGGTTATTTGTGGGGCATAGGAATTTGTTCACCCCCCCAAAAAAAATAGTCTGGCCCCCCACAAGGTCTGAGGGACAGTGGACCGGACCCCTGCTGAAAAAGTTTGCTGACCCCTAAGCTTAGCAATTGTCACTGCTAGATCATGCATCTGACCCCCATCTTTCTCCATTCGCACTGCAGGCGGCTGTGTGCAGCCACGAAATAAAGTGCCCCCGTGGATTCTTCTGCGACCACCACTTTGGGCTCTGCCTGCCCTTCAGGCAAGAAGGTGAATTCTGCCGACGGGATGCCCACTGCGCCCTGGGACTTAGCTGCATGTTTGGCAAATGCCAGGAGACTCTGCCTGGCGGCCAGGAAGGTAAGCCATGGAGGGGGCGGCCTGTTTTGCAACGTTTCTTTTGCATCTCGCAACAAAGGTTAGGCCTTTCAAAGTAAGGAGCCTAATTGGAGCTCTAGTAGCTCAGGGAACAGGCATGTAGTAAATGTAGTAAATCATGTTCTCTCTGGAATTAGGAGGGGCAGGGCTTTCAGATAGCAGGACTTGGCTTCCAAGCAGGCTGAATGAAGACCCAGTAATTCACCGAGCTAGAAATCTGCGCTCTGCTATGTAAAGTCCGAAAGGACAGGTCTCTGCCCCAAGGAGCTCACAATTTAAAATCCAACACAAGGGAGGCAACAGAAAAAAGCAAGGGAAATCGAGGCACAGGGGTAAACCATGGAGTGAATACATTTTGGGTTAGGAGTTACCATTGACTGCCACTATTATTTATGCATCCTTACCTTGTTCTTGAGGGCTTTGGAGGAAATGGAGGGTTTAATGTGGGTCCGTCCGTTCCCCCCCCTCCCAAAGTTGGACTCCCATCAACCCTAGACAGCAAGGCCAATAGTTAGGGAAGCTGGGAGTTGTAGTCCTGTGGCATTGATTTATTCCCCCTTTTTTAAATGCATATGTTTTCAGGTACTTTCATTTTGAAACTAATTCGGAGGAGGGAGATTAATACATCACAGATTAGAAAAGTGCGCTAGATGTCTAAGACGCCTGAGAAACAGTTTCTACGCAAATGCAATTCTGGTTCTAAACGCAGCATAAGGGGTCTCTATAGTATAGTGTATTTTATAGTATAGTGTATTTTATAGTATAGTGTATTTTATAGTATAGTATAGTGTATTTTAAAATGGGGTTTCAGAGTTTTTAGAGGTTTTTGAATGTTTTATGTAGTTTTTCAAATTCATTGTTCTGTATGGGACAATGACAATAAAGATGTCTATCTCTATCTATCTATCTATCTATCTATCTATCTATCTATCTATCTATCATCTATCTATCATCTATCTATCTATCTATCATCTATCTATCTATCATCTCAGGTTTGCAAAAAATGTGTTTGATGCTAATGATTAAGGGCGGCTCAGGTTTGCAAAGTATCATGCCGGATTTTCAAAGATTTCAAGGCATCTTTGCTTTGCAAAATGTGCTAGCTTTCGAGGTCTGTATCGCCATCCTCAGATGCATTTGGGTTCTCAATTACTCTCGCTTCCTTGCCCCTTGGAGGTGCCCGCTGCCACCACGATAAGGATTGCTCTCCCGACGCCTGCTGCGCCCGCCAACATGGGGAGAAAGTCTGCAAGAAAAGGCTCCTTTTAGATGAAGGGTGCTATGTTCCGGAAGGAGGGATTGCATTCAGCGTGAACCAGGTGTGCCCTTGCCTAGAAGGACTCGTGTGCAAAAAGATGTCCCCTAACCGAGAGTAAGTACACTGATGTGGACTGGAAGGGGGGTGGGATGGCTAGCAACATATTGTGAAATTGCTTCCCCTCCACCCTTAAGCAAATAATTGCTTTGCAGAATGTGGCACGAGAGCTCCTCCCAGATGGGTGCATTCTGCAACCCTGCTTTTCGTACCCATAACAGGGCATCATCGATGGTTGATTTATCCCTGCTTTGTTCTGCAATGTGCCTCCACACACTGTCGCTGTCTGTCGAGCGGGAAGGGTGCAATAAAAGCGGGACAAAAATTAACCGAAACATTTGTGGCATAAAAAGCTGATGGGGTTTCAGCGGGGAGTTAAGGGGTATATAGAAAAGAAGCAGCGCCAACGCTGCCCCAACACTTTTTCACAGGCGTGAATGGCATTGAAAATAGGAACGTGGGTGTGATAGCCCTGAAAACATTGTGAACACAAATATTATAACAACAACAACAACAACAATTTATTATTTATACCCGGCCCATCTGGCTGAGTTTCCCCAGCCACTCTGGGCGGCTCCCAATTGAGTGTTAAAAACAATACAGCATTAAATATTAAAAACTTCCCTAAACAGGGCTGCCTTCAGATGTCTTTTAAAAATAAGATAGCTGCTTATTTCCTTGACATCTGATGGGAGGGTGTTCCACAGGGCGGGCGCCACTACCAAGAAGGCCCTCTGTCTGGTTCCCTGTAACCTCACTTCTCGCAGCGAGGGAACCGCCAGAAGGCGCTCGGAGCTGGACCTCAGTGTCTGGGCTGAACGATGGGGGTGGAGATGCTCCTTCAGGTATACTGGACCAAGGCCGTTTAGGGCTTTAAAGGTCAGCACCAACACTTTGAATTGTGCTCGGAAACGTACTGGGAGCCAATGCAGATCTCTCATGAAAAGGATGTGTTGGAAATCTCAGGCTCATGGCCCTAACCAGGCCTGCCAGATCTCCCCACGTGGTCTTACCACACTGGTGTTTGTTTTTTTTTTGGGGGGGGGGAGTCAAGCCCTGCCCTGCACCTGATGTCATATATGATGTCAGGGGTAGGGCAGGAAAAAACATTCAGCACCTCGCAGAAAGCAGGGTTTTTGTGACGCTGCTGTTCATATTATTGCTGGCACTTTCAAAAACCTTTCAAAAGCACTTGCTGATGATGAGATGAGTTGATTTTCAGCCCTTGCAAAGGCACCAGGCTTTGCAAGTGCTGGCATCGACAGCTGATCAGCGGTTCCTGCAGAGCCCTGAGCCTGGCAAGTGTTCCCTTCCTCTGCACTAGATCATTAGGTGTGCTTCGATGATGCTGATGATGATGATGATGCTCCATTGACATTACATAATACGCACCTGGCTAGGGTGCGCACTAACCTACATCTTAATCACATAACCTATTTTAATCTGAGCCACAGCCAACTCCAGAGGCTAATGTGCTCTGTTGATGTGCTCTGTCTCCTTTTGCTACCTGTCGAAGAATGCTGTGTGACATGAAAATCTGCTTCAACAGTAGACACTCCTATTTAAAAAAATTCTCTCTCTTTCCCCCCCCCCGCAGGGCCTCATTTGAATACTGGTCGGATAAAATTGTCTGGAGATGCCAAAAACAATAGGCAAGCAAGGAGTGTGGATTAAAAAAACAAAACAGAGCTGTATTTATTCCATGTAAATAAAACTGTACATAAAACTGTTTTTGCCCTTCTCTTTCTATTGGACATTTGTAAATAAAAAATATCTGAGTTGTCGCCAAGTAATGCAAGGACCAAGTCATTAATCCCTCCCACACTCTGTAATTTTTGTTTTTATTTAATGAATAATTTGTACATGAAAATAGTACTTGAAGTTCGTGAATATGCAGATTTACAATAAACTGGAAGCATCATAAGGTTGTACGTTGTCTTGAAATCTGTTATTCCAAAGTATTTGGAACACAGCCCCCTTTCCCATAAAACTGTTTGGCGGATTAACGTGTATTGAGTTACATTATGCTAATCTAATCATTAACAGTGATTAACATTGGCCCTGCCTGCAATCTGACTTGAATGATGGGAGTTGGAGTCTAGCAACACGTGGAAAGTCACAACTTCCGCATCCCTGGTTTAGACTAGACTAGAGAATGATATTCTTAGGGCTATATTAGGTGCAACAGTTCCATCTCTTTAAATGCAGATCTATCCCCAATCATGGTGTCTCCATGATTTGTAGAACTTCCTTCCCCTGGAAGCCCATTAAATTGTGAGCTGGAATATTTTCCATTCTTGAAATACTTATTCAGCACTTGGGTTTTTACCAGGTATACATCTAATTCATCTGGATTACACTTAAAAAAAATAATTAATGAATATTCTGTCAAATAGGTTTTGTTGGGTTGTTGGTACTTTAAACTGTAGTCAGTTCTCCAAGATCTTAGGATGAAGGGTGAGATATGCAAATGAAATGAACTGAATACTTGTGAGCACTTAGCTACTCTTTGCTCTTTGCAAAGAGCCATTTTTATAAGGTTGTTTGTCACAGCAGGAAAGGCAAACACCCTTAACGCACACAGGTATCTTCCAGTTGTGTGTACTTTAAAAGCAATGTGGGTGTTTACTCTGAGGCAGAAAAACAGTACAAGCAATCCTTCTGGGCAGCTGGGGGTATAGCTCAGTGGTAGAGCATTTGACTGCAGATCAAGAGGTCCCTGGTTCAAATCCAGGTGCCCCCTGTTTTTCTGTCTAATTCAGGAGTTTCATTTTTCAGTTAACAAAATAAATAAATCATGTTCTGTCTCTGCAAAAGAGCACAAATACACTGCTCCGGACTACGTTCTTTTCTAATTATTGGGAGAAGGGGTGCTGTTTGTTGTTCCCATGACGCAGTTTAATAGCGATTTGTTAAATCTCATCATCTGTGTAGTGGGAGAAATGAAAGATTTCTGTTCAGCTGGTTACAGGAAGGGTGGAAAGCCCAAGGAAGAGATGTAAATATTAATTTTTCAGCTCTAATGTTAATTGACTCATGCAGGATTTCCTGCAAGGCTTGATTTGCTGACTTTTGATAACTCTGACAGAGCATTTGAGATCCAGGGCTATTTACTGATCACGATTCTGCTTCAAGAGCCTTATGGGGAGATTTAAAACCTGACTTATCTGCAAAATTTTACCGGCATCAATCATATCAAAGTCACTCGGTCTGTCGTGAAGGTCAGGAGTTCAAAAGGACAAGAATGGGAAGAGACAGGACTAAGTGTGGCTGCGGTGGCAGGGGGAAGTAATCAAAAAGCACACTTAAAGCACACACAAAAACACACACACACACACATACACTCAATCCTGGGAACTGTAGTTTATGTCACGGCTAAAATGGCCGCTGTTTCTTTCATGCTTAAAAAGCTAGGTCAGCATGAGTCAGCGGCCTACACCGGGTTGTATATATAGAGTAAGAAATGTTAGTTTGGTTGGTTGGTTGGTTGGTTGGTTGGTGAAAGCTGGTAGTGTTGTTGTGTGTCAGTCGCTTTTGCAGAAAGACTTTCAAGAATAAAAGCAGAAAGTACTCTGCAAGGATACTTTTCTTGTGGATTCTTTTACGCCGACAAGGGTCCAAGGACCAGGCTGAGGTGACAAAGGGAGGTCAGAACCCTTTCCTTTTGCTTTTTACAAACACTGACAGGTTATGGGCCCAGTGTTTCTGAGCATGTGCAGAGTGCAAAACGACCGAAAGCATCTCAGCAGGGAGCTGGTGAGTCCTGGTGGTGTATGGAGCCGGCGGCTGTGCGTTGGAGCAGTTGGTGGCAAGCTGTAACTGTTTGCAGCGACGCTGGAGCAGCTAGGATCTGGCAGCAACAGGCCTGCATGGCAGAAAGGCTCTCCTTCAGCACCGGGCACTCAGCTCCCAGGTGGGCCTTGTACACAGCAAGCACAAGAAAGGCCGGTGCAGTACCTGCCTGCCTGCCTGCCCGGCCTCCCACTTGTCTGTCCATTTCCCAACAGCAAGGGCTGGCAGATTGGCTGGCTGGACTTCCTCACCCACTTGCCTGCTTGCTCCGAGGCCGTCTCAGCTCCTGGCATCAGCACCCCCTGGCCAGCGCCAGAGACATCATTTGCCTGGGGAACTTATCGCCAGGGCTGCTGCAACAAACTGCTTTGGGAGGCAGAGACGTGAGAGGGCATCTGAGGAGGGAGGGAAGGAAAGAGGGATAATAATAATAATAATAATAATAATAATAATAATAATAATAATAATAATAATAATTTATTATCTATTATTTATTACTTATTATTTATACCCCGCCATCTGACTGGGCTTCCCCAGCCACTCTGGGCGGCTTCCAACAAAGTATCAAAATACAGTGGTCTGTTAAACATTAAAAGCTTCCCTAAACAGGGCTGCCTTCAGATGTCTTCTAAAAGTCTGGTAGTTGTTTTTCTCTTTGACATCTGATGGGAGGGCGTTCCACAGGGCGGGCGCTACTACCAAGAAGGCCCTCCGCCTGGTTCCCTGTAATCTCACTTCTCGTAACGAGGGAACCACCAGAAGGCCCTCCTTGGAGCTGGACCTCAGTGTCCGGGCAGAACGATGGGGGTGGAGACGGTCCTTCAGGTATACTGGACTGAGGCCATTTAGGGCTTTAAAGGTCAGCACCAACACTTTGAATTGTGCTCGGAAATGTACTGGGAGCCAATGTAGGTCTTTCAAGACCGGTGTTATGTGGTCTCGGCAGCTGCTCCCAGTCACCAGTCTAGCTGCCGCATTCTGGATTAGTTGTAGTTTCCGGGTCACCTTCAAAGGTAGCCCCACGTAGAGCGCATTGCAGTAGTTCAAGCGGAAGATAACCAGAGCATGCACCACTCTGGCGAGACAGTCTGCGGGCAGGTAGGGTCTCAGCCTGCGTATCAGATGGAGCTGGTAGACAGCTGCCCTGGACACAGAATTGACCTGCGCCTCCATGGACAGCTGTGAGTCCAAAATGACTCCCAGGCTGCGCACCTGGTCCTTCAAGGGCACAGTTACCCCATTCAGGACCAGGGAGTCCTCCACACCTGCCCGCCTCCTGTCTCCCAAAAACAGTACTTCTGTCTTGTCAGGATTCAACCTCAAACACACACACAACTCTACAAAGGCTGGGGATCCAGTCATGGTTGACAAGATGCCTCCAAGGGCCTGAAGGCAGCAGCTCCCTTGCCCCTATTGTCTGTGTTATGTAGTGTAGTTTCACCCTGGGCCAACAGGGGGATACTGTATATAGTTTTCACTCACTGGCGACGAGGATGGGATTGATGGACATCAGAGCACAGCCAGATGCGGCCAGCCTCTGAACTGAGCTGAATCACTGAGCTGAATCACAGAGCGAAATCACTGAGCGAAATCACTGGGCAGAACCAATTCAGAGCTGACTGTTCTGGCTAGAGCACTGTGTTCCATCCATCGCCCTTCACGCCGGCATCGGAATCATGGCTTCACTTGTGCCTCTACCGCCGTTTGCGCCAGCCTCTGAATCGTGGGACTCCTACCTCGCTCGGTTCGACTGCTACCTCCAAGCCAACGAGCTGACAGCAGTATCAAAGGATCGGAAGCGGGGCCTATTCCTCAGCCTCTGTGGGCCTGAGGTGTTTGAGACGGCCCGAGCGTTGGTTGCGCCTGAAGCAGTCCAGGCAACACCATGGGACACGATCCAAGAGAAGCTCCGCAACCACTACGCACCAAAGCCGTCCAAGATTGCTGCCCGCCATGCGTTCTACCACCGGAACCAGGCAGAGGGGGAGTCAATCAACAACTACACCACCGCCCTGCGACAGGCTGCAATGCACTGTGAGTTCCGAGACTTAGACGATGCCCTGATGGATCGAATCGTCTGCGGGGTCCGGGACATCCATCTGCAACGGCGCCTCCTAGCCAAGCCAGACCTCACGCTACAGAAAGCCATTGAGGAGGCTGTGGCCTCAGAAGCTGCTGAACGCTCCGCCCAGGAGATCCGCAAGTCCAGCAGCCCGCGTCTTGCTAGGGAGCCAGTTCCGGTGCATCATGAAGAGGCCAGCAGTGATGAGGCATCCTCCAGTGAAGACGATGACGTGCACCAGACAAAGCGGGAGCGCAGGAAGTTCCAACAGAAGTCCAAGGGCCAACCGGAATGTGCTGGCTGCGGAGGCAACCATTCCCGTGCCAAGTGTCGATTCAGAGACGCCATCTGTAGGAAGTGTTCCAGAAGGGGCCACATCGCTAAGGTCTGCCGATCGGCTCCGTCTGACACCCCCCCTTCATCGACTCGCAAGTCCAAGTCTTCACTCCAGTCTGCCAAGGAAAGTTGTTTCGCTCTCACCAACTGCCGCTGCCCGTCTGGAACCACGATTGGCCAAACCGACTCGCCTACGCGACGCAAGCTGAACGTCACGGTGCTCATTGAAGGAGCTCCATGTGACATGGAGATCGACACCGGGTCTGCCCTGTCCATCGTGTCATGGAGCACCATCAAAAGACTGGTACCCAGAGTGTCCAAAAGGCAACTCGACTCTCACCGCGTACACCTGAGAGACTACCAGGGAAACGACATTCCCGTGGTAGGCGTTGGCCGGTTCCGGATCGCCTTCAAGGATTTTTCGGGCCTGCTCCGGTTGGTGGTGGTCGAAGGTCAGCGGCCAAGCCTCCTAGGGCTAGACTGGTTTGATGCCCTCGGCCTGGAAGTCACCGGCATCAACTGCATCTCTAACGCAGAGACTGAGGGTCTGGTCAAAGACTTTGCCGAGGTTTTTGACGGCACCTTGGGCCAATATACAGGTACGCCCATCTCCTTTAGCCTTGATCCACAAGTCGCCCCCATCAAGCTAAAGCCACGCCGGGTTCCCTTTGCTCTCAAGGCTAAGGTGGACGAACAACTGGACAAACTGATTGCCC